AAAATATCATACTTTTATCGCATAAAAACACCTTTTTTCACACATTTTTGTTTTTAAAAAAGGTGTAACTACCGTTCCTAAACTAAGTTGTGTGCTAAACCTCCTTCTTTTTGTCATTTTAATGCTCTAAAGTGCCAAAAACAAAACTGACCTAATTTGCATAATTTGCGCAAATCCAGTCGATTCCTCCAGAGTCTTTCCGGCGACTAGTCAGCATACCGCTGACATTAGCCGTGAAGACTCTGGGCTCGAGATTGCCCGGGACGAGTCAGCGGGTTTTCCCACCAAAATAGAGCTTTCTACAAGTTCCCTTGAGGTTTGAACTTTTGAAGATCAAATTTTCTACTCTTGTGCAACGATCCTTTATCTTAATACAATACTGGGCTAAAATGGAAACGTTCAAATCATCGACAAACGAGTATTGGGATAGCACGCCCTGATCCTTGAGTTCATTAGTGGCTTGTGAGGTGCTCGTTTGGAATGTTCATAGTGTAAATAATATTATTTGCTGGAACACACTTTTCCCTCAGGTATTTTAAACAATGATCATCAGTTGATATTGTGATCTTTTGTTTATACTTGTACATTTCTAAGGAATTTAAAAGGTCTGACATTGTTTACACTAAATAGCGTAGACTTGATCTTTCGTTCGTATTTCCTGCTATTTACCACTTCGCGCAAGGCGCTAGTAAAAACCGCCAAAATTAAAGCAGTCTCAGACTGAAAGCCAAGTTTCTAAGGTTTATTTTGGTACCAAACATGGCGAATAAAATGAAAAGAAAATGGAAGATCGAGACCAATTATTCGCGTGAAACACGGGTCGTTGCCAGCCATTTCACCGTCAAGTTAGTGTTTTCAAATTGTACGATTTCTAGTACCAAAAAGGACGCTGTTKATCKTCTTYAAAATAGCTGAAAATCGCTGTGTTCCTACCTCAATATGTGGACTTTGAGAAATGATCTATGGAATATCAGTGACATGTAAAGGAACACGATCAGCTACGGTGAAATTTCGCTTCTTCGCGAATTTTCACCATGAGATACAAGGCCAAAGGGAGACGACGAAAGGAAAATAAATTGTCAAAAAGGACGCTGTTAACAATATTGGATTTATTTAGATTTCCTACAGTGGAATCAAGAATAGTTTCCCTCTACGAATTCATCTATGGAATCTTCCCAGTTAAAACAGATGAGATGTTATTCTCAAATATTTTTTTTGATCCATACATTTCTTTATAAAATTTAAAAACATGATTTTATGCATTTATGCGAAGTACCGCTGCGATTGCGGGCTCAAATGTCCGGATTTCCTGGCCATGACCATCGAGTCGATTTTTCATGGACCGACATATTGTATAGGGTTCCAGTAAGTACACACGCTCCCTTCTCAATGCGTACTTCCGTACTTCTTGAGTCTATGTACCAGCAAAGGAAACAAATACTCTGAGTAAAAATAAACTATTAGAAAAATATTTGTTGAAACATCGAAATTTGGGCTCAAACATTTATCTTCGAAATTGGTAATATTAGAAAACAAATCACATGGCAAAAACCTCAGAAGAGCGAAATCAAAGCACAGAGATTCCGGCCAATTTTGTCATGGCTTCTACTACACATTTTCACGTCCGGGAAATCGATTTGCGAAAGATAAAAAGCAAATTGCTTTTGAGCGTTTTGAGAGTTCCTTTTTAGGAAAAAGGAAAAAGGAAAACAGGATGACGTTTCGCCTT